TATCTTCAATATATCATACTTATCAGTCCGAGCAGCGTTTATTTATTTATAAACTACATGTCACTACGATTGATCATTGGCAACTAGTTGTGCGAGGCATACTGATTTTTGTGTGATGCTAGAATGTCGCCACATATTATATGGTCATAGGTGAATAGGTGAATTGTAGACATCGATGTTTGTAGTCGAGAATTAACGTAAAGTAACTTATTATATTTGCATAAGAAAGTGTGTAGTCAAACATGTTTTCAGTGGATTTACCTGAAATTACCACTGGACCAACTATAATGATACGGGCTGAGGGTTCAAACGATATCAAATTTGTAATGAATTTGCAAAAACCCCGTCTTACTTACTAAAATAAACTTTGAATCATCCAATTCTTATTCTGTTTTTGATAATAGGTAAATTACTGCCATATTCGTATTGATGAACAATACTCTTGGTAGCAAGTAAGAGAAAGGAATTTGTTTGTGTAGCCATTATATCCATGTTTTCCTGCAACAGATCACTGTGATCCCAATATATATGTTTGTTAATTTCAAGTTGACGAAAGGGCGATTCAAATTGTATTGATTGTACTACCACGTGACATCTGTAATTTAAGGAATGTGTAATTTTGCATCTAGGTACACTGCAATCAGACATTTCTTGAATGGAGTTTGTTTGAGCAGCTTTATTCATCACATCTGAACAAAGTTTTCTTTTTAAAGTCGACCACACAATTACATAATCAATCGAAGTTCACAACACACACTCCAATTGTGAAATACGAGTTTGAAAATTTGCTCAACATATACCATGCATAGTTTAGTATATGTTAAACTCCACAACCATTTATTTTGCATATGAACATTTTAAAAGAAAACAATTGTTTTATTATTTTATTGTTGAAAATATCAAACATTAATATTTTAAGTACAAGGATATGAGAAATGTTTATCATTTAGTACGATAACGTGAAATGAACAATGTGCAATTTCGAAATCGGAAGGGTCCCAAACGATGATAACAACACACGCTACGAACGCAAATGCCCATGGGTAGACACTTGTTTGTAGATAATGACACGCCATGGTCACCTGACGCATGCTTAGGTGACTCCCCCGCTTTAATAATTAGGTGTGAAACCCAGTATATTGTATATTTCATTCAAACAATTTTAATTTAACAAAAGGAGGTAACAGATGTTTCTATTAGTTTGAGCAAAGATTGAGCAGAAAAAATAAAAATTTCTTTTGTCCAGGTTTTATAATGGATTCTATGAGTAATATATAATGGGTATCTTTGTAAAGTGTACCTTTATGTATTACCGGTAAAACATGCACACCATTAAAATAATAAAAACTTCAAATGCAACCGTAGTACACATAAAGAGTTAACAAAATTATTGAGAGTGATTTTGGATTACCGTTACTTAAAATTTTGCCATCATGATGTGACATTAAATATAATTGTTGGTGGGAATTAACAAGCAATTTTATAAATAGTGAACAAACACTAACCGTAAAATACACCCATCATTGTCACTGATGGAAACTTTTATATTGAAATTTCTTAATTTTATTTTGTTGTATTGCAACACATTAGTGATAAGGTGACCCTCGCTAAATCGTGGGTGTCGGGATCAAAACAAAAAAACGCGACATATCAGGGTTCGTGAGGGGAGGTTTATGCTTTGAAAAT